AGGTTCTTTTGGGGAGGTAATGGTTGTAGTCAGCATGTGCCATTAGCTTTGAGAGAAGCAAATTCTTGTTACATAGTAAGACACCATTTTGGATCACAAACTGCTTGTGCAAACGAGAATGATTCTTTCTCAACTGAAAAGGAAGTGGTGAAGGCATGGTGTTTGGGAGATAGTCTATCATATGAAAGAACATTAAATAAGGAATAGGTGATGCATGTAGCTTCAACCAACGCCGAGTTACATGATTGGACATTTCATGATGGAATAAAAATACCAACATGATAATCATGGAGATACCTAGGTGTTTATGTAGTACATGTTTTTGAACAATGGATGCAAAATTTGAAAGTGGATGAATGGCTTAGGAAGAAGCTTCGCTATTAGAATGAGAAGTTTCTTGAGAGAGATGGTCGGGTGAAAATACTTGAGTGTTGGAAGGAAAGTATATAGTGGAGTTGCCATCATCATATGTTGATAAAAGGTGAGACATTGAAGGTGAGTTTACAGCTGAAGACGATAAAGGAAAAAACATGATAAATTACATCATGTGAAATGAAAACTTTGGCATTTAAGATATCATAAACCCTCGTATCCTTTTTGAGCACATGGGTAACCTAAGAAAAGACACCATGTAGCTATAGCATTAACTTGGTAGGACGATGGTGATGTGTTGAGGCAGACCACATGCAGTCAAATACTCGCCAATGAGAATATGTGGGCTATTTGTGAAAAAGAATTTCTACAGGTTTTTTCCTCGTAGGACGGGTATGGGAGTTTGGTTGATGAGGTAGGTAGCAGCCAAGATCGCATCCTCCAAAATTTTTGGGAAGATTGGCTTGGAATAATAAGGCTCGAGCTACATTAAAAATGTGTCAATTCTCTCAGCTAATCCATTTTTTTTTATGAAATGGAGACAACCAATTCGATGAATTATACCTTTATCTAACTAAAAGTGTATTTTCTACACTTATTTTAATATTTAAGTTATAGTATTTACTGATTATTTTGATGAATTATAGCTTAATTCTATGTGTATTGTGTTTGTTAGGTAAAAATCGATATAAAAGGGTAGAATTGGAGAAAAGTGTGAAAATGGCTCAATTATAAGAGATTCAAAGTTTGGGGACTGAAGTGAAAATATTAAAAAGTTATTTTGGACCTCATGTCAAAGATTGGAGTCTGCTAGAAGTCAATTGGAAGAGACTGAGAGACAACGAAATGAAAAAGAATCGAAGAGGACCAAAATAGACTAGTGGAAAAGCTCGTGGACCAATTTGCCAAATTTGGTTCACGAGAATAAACAATGCCTAGGCATGGGTGCCTTGGTAGGGCCCTCTCTTAGAAACTGAAGCGAAAATTGCTTTCCCATGCCTAGGCATGGGCATCCTGGGAAGGGAAAATTAAGTTTCCTTATTTTAATCTGTTCATGTATGAAATCATGTTCTAGCACCTTTTTAATCTAAGAGTGGCCGTCCTCAAGGTTTTAACTTTTTTTTTTTTTTTTAATGATTGTTTGAGTCTAGCCAGATGAAAACAAGTGAATTTACACCAAGAACTGCAAGTTCAAAGCTTGGGTTGAAATTGAAGTGCAAGGAATTAAGTTTTCAAGTTCTTTTTGGATGATATCTTTTCATATATTTTCATATATTTTTATACTAGGCTAAGCATTTTGTGTATTGGATGAATGATGAACCCTTTTGATAAATATTTTCAATTCAAGACTTGAGTGTAATTTAAGTTTCTTGTGTTCTTGATTAAATATTTATGCCTAATTCATTGTTTGAAAGCTTGATAACCATTTAGACAATTTGTTGCTTATTGTAGTGTGGAAGACTCACAATAGCTTAGAACATTGAATGTTTAACATAAGGACAATAGGTATTATGAATAATATTTATGGCACGTGCAATCTATAGTGCTAATCGTGTGATTGAATGGTTTTTTTATATGAATTCGAACTAGGAATATGATTAGATCGTACTTTGGATAGGTTTAATATATCTTAAAAAAGAATATTAGATATTGAAGGATTATCGATTGTCATGAACACTCCAAGAACACTAATTTACATAATTTGAGAATTGAAGATAAAGATCAATAGGTAAATTCTGAAATCCAATACATACATCTCATTAATTCATAAAAAAACAATCTTTACAGCATTCTTAGTTTAATTTTGGATCATTACAAAACAATAACACATTTGCGTCACATTCATCGAATTTGATTAGAACTAGCACACTGTAACTATAATTATTCATTGTGGGACGATACTCTTAACTCACTAAATCTATTACTTGTCAATGATCTCGTACGCTTGCAGGATTTCACCAAACAAGTTTTGGGGCCACCATCGGGGAGGATAATTCTGTTTAATTATAGTTTATTAGTTGATATTAAATTCGTTTGTCCTTTTGTTTTAGGCTATTCATCGTACTACATTATTTTATTGTGTTTGCTCTTTCAAGTTGTCAACAACATTTGCAAGATTTTGACGAGATTGAGACCATTCTCCTGTTATCAAAAGAACATATAGACAGTGCAGAAGAGAATAGAGAGAAGCGAGGGAAATGGTTGAAACTGAGGTTTAGGATCTAATTCAAATGCAACAACCAGTTCAATAGAGACTTATCGCTAACAAGGGCCCAATATTAGTTGGAAATTATTTTAATCCAGTGCCTACACCTGTGCAATATGTTATCATCTACCATTCTATTGGACAAGCTTAATTCCACCTTCGAACGGATGTCATCAACCTCTTTTAGAATCATCAAGACATTAGGTTCTTCAAGAAATCTAAAGAGAATTCTCATGAGCATATACAAGCTTTTGTGATGTTATGTAAAGTCATCAACCACGAGGGGATGTCAGAATATGCCTTTTAAATGCATCTATTCCCCCACGCCTTGAAGGATGGCGCAAGAAAATGGCTCTGAAACTTTTAGTGCATGAAAAATGATATAATAAATCAAAACAAATCTCATGAGCACTTTTATTATATGTTATGCTTGCTCCAACTCAAGGGGTCACTCTTGATTTTGAACTTATGTCTGACTAAATTACATCGATAACCTTATCAGTTTAATTGTAAAAAATAATTAAATAAATGAAAATAAAAAGCTCATATGTTTAATTATTTCTCAAATATAATGACTTGTTAATAATAAAACCAACTTCAATTAATTATGCAAAAACATCCAAAGTACAAAAGTTAGGTGTAACTATTCCATAGCTTTTTCCGTCCTTATTCATTTCTTGAATCAGGGTAACAATTGAAGGGAGTTTAGTTTTAAGTAGTCCAAATCTAGATAAAATTTCTTTGTAACTGAAATTTGACGCAATGAAACAAATATAAATAGCAATCTCACTTGTAATTTGATGAAATTATGGTATTCATTGGAAATTCGACATGAAAGAGGAATAAATAGACGTGGACGGAAATACACAAATAAATTCGTTTTATAAAGGCAAAGACCTGAACTTTGCTAAAATTTCATCTTAATGTTGTACTGGAAATTTTGATGACAGTTGGTGAAGAACAAACTTCAATGGAAAAGTAGAACAACGTTCTTTATTAAGGAAATACAGAAAATAGGAAACATATTAGTTCCTTTATTAATTGGAAATTATTTAGACACAAACATGAGGATTGGCAATCAGGTAATCTGCACAAGACTTGTAGAGTCCCATAGCATGTTCCTTGCCTGCTTCAACATCCTCTTCTTTAAGTACAACATCGCCCTTGGTATGATACTCACTGGTGATCTTGATGATGCATCCTCCATCCTTTGAGTCCTCGAATTTCATCTCATAACATATCTTTTCAAGCTGGTCACCAAGTGCATCTCCTTCGACCAAAGTGAACTTGCTCACGTAGTTTTCTGTGTCCAGAAAATCGAGCCTGTTCTTCATGTACTTGAAGTGAGACCCTGTCATATAACGCAGATGCTCATGAGATTATGCAAAATGAACAAAACTTTCGGACATGTTTTATTTGGTCTAGTGTCGTATAGTATGTAAAAAAAATGTTTAGTTTTATGCTAATGTTCTTTTTTATTTGTAGCTACTACAAAATTATGACTTTGGTATATTGGATAACATTTGACACAATAGTACTACATATATACAAAATATTATGTTCTCGTTCTTTTTTCGTGATTTGAATATTTGGACTAACCATCAGAGAAGTTTGTCAGTTTTACACTCCCAACACCACCATCTCCTTCAACTGTCTCAATGCTCTTGATGGATGGGGAGACTTTCGGCAAAACATCGTGGTTATCGGTGATCAAAGCCTTGAACATCCTCTTGGGAGAAGCATTAGTTTTGAGTTCATGGAAAAACTTGGAGACACCCATGTTTACCTTGAATAGTATAACCTACGTAGACTTGATGAAAAGTTTAAGTGAATTACAATAGAGAAGAAGTGTAGAGCTGTGCAGAAAACAGAAGATGGACATAGTATATATAGCGGTGGTGCTGTAGATAACATCATTTAAATATAGCCAAACTGCACCTTAAAATTTAATATTTTAGCACGCCATTATAGACTATACATTTTCTTTTTATAATCAATTTATTCTTTTGCTTCAATCGTCAATTTTGTACAGTTTCTACATTGTATACCTACTAGTTGAGATTTAAATATAATACCACAGCCAGCCAAGTTGATGTGAATATATTTGGACATGAGAGCTTTTAGCCATGTCTTGATTTTCTTTAGAGCCCAATCCATCATGAAGCTGTTGCATTTCAATTGGTTTTCTTTTATGTTTTAATAAATAATCAGCGGTCGAGGAGGGACCTGAATTCATCATGCTGTCATCATCATGAATTGTTGAATTTGAGTTTATTTTTTACTTCTATTTTTATTATGACAAGGTAGTATGTGTCATCATCATACGCGTTTTTTCATACCTTCTCCCATAAAAGGGGTTTTGATTATGATATTAATCTCTCTCCGTAAAGGTTGAGAGTCAGCAGCATTAAGCAACTTGTGAGATGATCATATGTGCCTTACCGAATGTGTACGCCTTTAGCCTCCTAGTGTGGTAGTCAGATTTCTTTGCCTTTTCCGCATTTTGGCTATTTTCAGCACTTCATAGCATTCATCTGTATCATGACAGTCACTATTTTTTGAGAGTTAGATATGCTTCGCCGATATCTTGCGAGGAAGCAGCGGTGAATATGTGCATCATGCCCTTGGAGTCCTTTAAGCTATGAAATTTCGATCTATACAATCCAAACGCGAAGGACGTTGCCTCTCCTCTATTTCCTCTACAAGATTTTGTTCTATGAGGTTGGATGCCAGCCCAGCCCAGCCCACCTAAGGCGATGATGATATGGCCTTTGGCCCATTACTAATACCCATTGTGTTGATGAAGTGAACCCAGTGAAACCCTTGGCCAAATACTCTGTCCGGTGAGAAAGTGTGTTTGGCTGAAGCACTTTTAGTTGTTTCTCCATTCAGTTGAAAGTGTTAGTTTCTCTGACCTATTGGATGGGGATGCTACCAATCTCAATGCCTTGATATTTGTTGGATTCGAATGGTTTTGAGAATAACTTTTCATTTGGTTTTCTCTCTGTTTTCTCGAGGTTTTTAAAGTCTTCTGAGTTTCTCGTGTTCATCTTCTTCTTCTGTGAGGAGCTCTTGAATTTGTTTCTTGAGCATGATTTCTGTGTGAGATTAGGTGATTAGATAGGTGTTGTTTGTTGGTAGCGTTTAACTCTTCTACCTCATGGAAGAAGTTTCGCATTTACTGTGTATCGTGAGGGTTCTTAGGTGAATATAGGCTTCACGATGTTGAATCATAAGGAACTGTGTTTGGAACCTTCGATCTGTGATTCCTTGATGTTCAGTGGTTGAGTTAGGGAAAATCGTTTGTAATAGGTGTTCAAGTATTTGTAGATCTGTATTCATTATTCTAAGGATTGTATAACAGTGGCATCAGAGCCTTTCTTGGCTGGTTTTGAGTCTTCGATCGAGTTTTGGAGGTTGGAAAATTAATTTTCAGTCTTTGATCTTCGATCGCCTGAAAATCAAAAAACCCTAGTTCTGGTTTTCTTTCGATTTGGGGTTTTTTGGGTACTTATCTAGAGTTTTGGTTGTGAGAGGTGTTCGTGTTCGTGTTTTCTTGTTCTTGATCTCCTTTGTGGTTATCTGGTGGTACACCACCCCTTTGCTGCAACCTTCAATCTCCCCTTTTGCACTCTGGTTTGTCTATTGGTAGTTAATCCTTGACCACCCCTCTAGTTTGCATCTTCTAACACTGTTTTTCCCCAACCCTGAGTCTGCATATTCACTCATGTTGTGCATTTTTGTGTAATCACCTTAAGTGATCAAATTGTGTATTGACCTGAGAATAAGAGTCTCACGGAATCCTAGTGAATTTGATCATTTTTGGGGTAACTGCAATTGGTTCCCTTCATTCTTTTTTTGACATACTGTTTCAATTGTTTTAATTCATTACTTTCTTGATTATGGATTGTGTTATTTGTTTTTGGATTCTTTTGTAAATTTTGAATAACTATGATATTTGTTTACTGTTTATTCTCGGTGACTTATATACCATTAACTTGCTTATACTTCTATTATTCTGCATTTCTCTGATCAAGTTTTGAGGAAAGTAGGAAAGTAAGAGAATGCTATGGCCTTATGGGATGAGTTAGAAGAGCTTTATGTAGTTAAGTCCTTACCTAATAAGTTGTTTCTATTNGAGTATAAGGTTGTTGTGTTATTGAATGTCATTCCTGACACCTATAGAGATGTTAAGGCTGCCATAAAATATGGTAGAGATATTCTTACTTCTGATATAGTTATAAACTCTTTGAGGAGTAGAGAGCTAGAACTCGGGTCTAAGAGGGGGAATGGTGGGCCTGAGACTCTGTTTGTTAGGAGGAGGACCAAGAATATGTTTAATGGAAACCAAGAAGGCTTTAATAATCAGGGAAACAATAATACAAAAAAGTTTAAGAGCGAGGGCAGGTCTAAGTCTAAAACTAGGAATAAAAAATGCTATGGCTGTGGAAAAACTGGACATTTTATAAAAGATTGTTATAAAAAGAAAAATGAACAGAAAGGAAAAGGTATTGATGAAGGAAATGTAGTTGAATATAATGATTCTAATACTTTTGATGTCTATATGGTGACCGAACCTTCATGTGATTGTGATTCTGTCAATGTTGTCAATGAAGGAAATCAGATCCAAGAATGTAACTTGGATTCTGGTTGCACCTTCCAGATGTCTCCTAAAAGGAGTTGGTTTGACTCCTTCAAAAGGATTAATGTTGGGTAACCACAATGCCATAGAGTTGAAGGCATAGGTAATGTGACATTGAAATTTGAAAATGGGTATATCTTTACCCTAGAAAGGGTAAGATATGTTTCTAATTTAAATAGGAATCTAATTTCAATGGGAAACCTAGATGATTTAGGCTTACAAGGTAAAGTTGGTGATGGTTTGTTGAAGGTGATGAGAGGATCACTTGTGATGTTTAAAGGTGTTAAGAGAAATGGGATTTATGTAGTTAAGGCTAGTGCTATAGTTGATTACATGACTGAGTCTTCTAATGCTGAACTTGATGCCACTTTAAAGTGTCATAAGAGATTAGCTCATGTAGGTGAAAAATGCCTACATATCCTTCATAAAAGGGGTATTTTTGGGAAGACTCTATTTTTAGAGTTCTCTTTTGTGAAAACTGCAGTTTAGGGAAACAGTACAGATTACATTTTAACACTGGAAAGCACAAATCTACCTCTGTCCTTGAATATATACATTATGATTTATAGGGGCCTTCATCCACTATCTCTCAAGGTGAAATCGATATTTTCTTTCCTTGATTGATGACTATTCTAGAAAGGTTTGGGTTTACCTGTTAGACAAAAATCTAAAACCTTTGGGAAGTTTAAAACCTGGAAAGTGTTGATTGAGAATCAAACTTTTAAGAAAATAAAGACTCTTAGGACTTACACTGGTCTTATGTTTTGTAATGCTGAGTTTAATCAGTTCTATTCAGAAAATGGGATTAGAAGACATAGAACTGTCCTTTATACCCCTCAACAGAATGGAGTGGCTAAGAGGATTAATAAGACTTTGTTAGAGAATGTGAGATTGATGCTAGTTGGTTCAGGTGTACCTAAAACCTTATAGGGGGAAGCTTTAATGATAGCCACTTTCATTGTTATTAGAACCCCTTCAAGTGCTCTAGGTGATAAAACACCTGAAGAGCAATGGACTGGAACTGTCCCTGACTATTCACATCTGAAAATATTTGGATGTGCTATATATTCTCATCAAAACATAGGAAAATTAGAATCCAGGGCCCAAAAATGTGTTTTCTTGGGTTATCCTGATGGGGTTAAGGGTTATAAGCTTTGGAGTAGAGAGTCTAGTGGCTTTCAGATTATCACAAGTATGGATGTTACATTTGATGAATTTAACATGCCTTATTTGAAAGATAATGAGTTTAAGAAACTGCCTGAAGGGGGAGGAAGAGATAAAACCAAGCTGCAGGTGGAGCTTGGTATACCAACTGAACTTGCTGAACCTAAAAATGCAGACTTTCTAGATGTTGAAGAAGAGTGTGAGGTTCAAGAAGTTTTAGATGAACAAGTGAGTGATGTTAGTGATTACTAGTTGACTAGAGATAGAGCTATGAGAGATATAAGAGAACATGTTAGGTACTGAGATTACCTATCTTTGGCTATACTTTCCTAACAAGACTTAGTCTTTAGAAAACCAAAATCCTATAAAGAAGCTAGTTCCTGTCAGCAATCTAGGGACTGGCAGGCTGCTATGAATGATGAAATTGACTCCTCGATTAAAAATGGTACCTGGATTTTAGTTCCGAAACCTGCAGGTAAATCCATTGTTGATTGCAAGTGGATTTTTAGTATTAAGAAGGGTAACGCTGAGAAGATGTCTATAAGATTTAAGGCTAGATTAGTTGCTAAATGTTTTACTCAAAAGGAAGGCATAGATTATAATGAGATATTCTCTCCTGTAATTAAGTATACTACTATTAGAGTTATGTTAGCTC